TACTGCAATAAAGTGCTGTTTTGCTCCATGTCGGTTCCTCGTGCATTTTTCCAGTTGCGTAGCTCACCTCCTCGGATCCCTCTCCAGCCTCCCGTGGCTGACAGGTACATTCTAACCAACATAAAACAAATCAATATCTAAAGAGATGAAACAGGAAACCTCTTCGCTTTTCATTTAAACTCTAAACTGGCTCTCTACCAGCCTCTGAGCAGCATTCTGTTGCCAGCTCCTTCAAAAACTGGAACACCTCAAGGGTACTTTTAGTTATTCTGGTAGATTGCGTTACCTTGCATAAAGTTTCTAAATGATTCCTTGGAAAACAGATAAATTATTTAGGAACTAGCTCTTACTTCATCTGTTGGTATAATTTTGGGGCTGTGTTAGTTTTTGGAGAATTTGTGAAAGTAGTTATCAAGATACTGATCACTAAGTTCTTTATTCTCTACTTAATTCAGTAGACTTTGTTTCATCACAAACTTACAGGATCAAAGAGCTGGACAGAGACTGTAGATCGTCCTTGATGACAAAAGAATGGGTGTCAAAAGACAGTAATATATTCAGCATGACAAAAGAACAGAGCCAGAATGATTTCAAGAGCAGTACACAGATGTCACATTTTCATTTTGAAAGAAGCTCATTTTTCGGTTGATATTACAACAGTCAGCTGAGGGCTAGAATGCAGTATCTTAACCATGATTATAGTTGACCTTTGAACAACACAGGTTTGAACTGTGCAGGTCCACTTACACGCAGATTTTTTTCAACAGTAAATTCTACAGTACCACACTATCTGTGTTGATTGAACTGGTGGATGTGGAACTGTGTATGTGGAGGGCTGACTATAAGTTATTCACAGATTTTCAAGTGCAGGAGGGTTTGCGTCCCTGACCCCAGCGTTGTTCAAGGGTCAACTCGACTTTTATTTGCATCATACATCACAGTCTGGAAAATCCTCTCAACATGAGTAAGTGGCCATATGGTGTGGTGGTTAAAGGGCTCTTTTGAACAGACTGATTGGACTAGAATATCAGCTCTGTCACATACTCCGCGACTTGGGGCAAGATATCTTAATCCCTACGAGTCACCTCTCTAAAATGAAGCCAGCAACAGCATCTCCCTTAAAGGGATTTGGAAAGAACTAAGTGAGTGAATATGTGGAAAGCGCTTAGCATGGTGCCGGGCACACAATAAGCTTGGAACATATTATCAGTTAATTATTACCTATTAAAAACAAAGTACTTAAGATATTTTTAAAGAAGAAAGACTACTCTTTGACCTAAGCCCTTTGACTCCAAGGTTGGCTCTTTTTACAGTGTGTAGGCCAGCTGTGGCTGCCACCTTGTACCATTCTGAGATCCCAGCTTAGGAGTACTGCTATCTTATTTCTGTTAGCTCTCAGATACAAGGCTTACAAGGCCAATGTCTCAGCTTTTCTTTTATTTCACGTGGATTTCTTTCAAGGATGATTATTTTGACATGACCCACTCAGCCCCTGGTATTCTAACCTGTCATTTCAAATCCCTTTACTGAACTTTTAAAAAGTTGACAATGTTTGGTTGATAATTACCTTCGTCTTCCTCACGTAATTAATGCTAGCTGTTAACATTTTATCACAGTACTTGGCCTCTCATAAAACACAAAACACTGTGATTTAGGATGAGTTTGTACCCTGTTTGAGCCAGAGATACAATACCGACAGGCCCTACACCTTAACAATTTATGATGAATTTCTTCCAGAAAGCACAAAACGTACAAGGCAACACACTTTGAAGGGAGCATGTCTGTTTTTATAAAAAACCTTCCAATTTTTATTTTCCTTTTCTGATATGTGAAATTCCACACATTCTACGGACAGCCTGAATGTAATCCTACAATCCTAAAGAAGTCACTTATTTAACATTTAAACTTGAGGTCAATTGTACCCATTTCTCAAAAGTCTGGTTCAAACCTCTCAAGGTCTAGTCTAATTTCCTGCCAGATTACAGCCCACATTTTCACATCACTTTGTTTATACTCCTTTTATGGCAAGTATTGTAATTATTATTCACAAATATGCCTTATCATCTTCAAAATCTATCCAGAATCCAACTGCTTCTTCCCATCTTCATTGCCATCACTCTAGTCCAAGCCACTGTCATCTTCTGCCTGAATTATTGTAGTATCTTTCTAACTGGTCCTGCCTTTTCACCTTTGGTCCTCCCACCTCCACACAAATCTATTCTCAACACAGGAGTTAGCATGATCCTGTAAGAACTCTAGCCAGATTATGTCACTCCATTCCTCAAACCCATTCAGCCACTGAGTAAAAAGCCGAAGTCCTTATACTGGCCCTATAGGAACCCGCCTCAACTCCCATCCCTACCAATCCCCCAGCTTCCATTCCTCTTTTCCTTCACTGCCTCCTGATGTTCTTGAACTCACCAAGCATGCTCTTGCCAGAGGGCCTTGCACTCTGTTGTTCCCCCTGCCTGGAAAACTCTTCCAGATGCTCACTTGCCTCGCTCTCCTGCCTTCTCTAAGTCTCTGTTAAAATGTCACCTTACGAAACAAGAGAGGCCTTTCCTTTACCCTATGTATAAAAGTGACAAACCTCTTCCCCTCTCTATTCCCTTTATACTGCTTTTTTTTTCTACAGCATTTATCAGTACATGGTACATGATACATTTGCTTATTGTTTGTTTCTCCTCCCTTCAAAAAAATAAGCACTCCATGAGGGCAAGGACTTAATCCGCTCACTGTTGTATACCCAGTATCAACAATCCCTGTCCCGGAGCAGGCAATCAATACATACTTATTGAATACTGAATAAAGGAATGGCCCTTTCACTATAGAACGTACGCTCCTTGAATTTCTCTTCACCTTTTTTACATCACCCATCGTGGAGAACTTCATTTAATGGACCCTTCAGAAATATTTTTCAACGAATGAAGAGCAAGGGAAGCTTTCTCCACCGGCCAACATTTCCATGCTGTGTTAATATTTCTAAGGCATTCGTTAAAGTTATCAACATGTAAGTAAAACTTCCTTAAAACGGTCGTTTTAATTTACTATTCTTAGTTAAACTTTAGGCATCTGGACTCTTTTAGGTTCGTTCCCTACTGATATCGTTAGGTTTCCTAACAATCTTCGGAAATAAGATGTCCCAATACGCTTCCTGTTGACACAGACTCAGAGAGAGCAGTGGCCGGTTCAGTGTGGCTCGGCTAATAAGCGCCTGGGGCAGGATTCTAACACAGGATACCTGGCTTCCGGGTCACGGAACTCCCGCACGCAGGCCTTCTCCGGGATTAGCAAGTCAAGGGTTGGCTCCGCCCTCGCAGCAGTTGCCTCCTAAAAGGTAGAAATACGATTGCGCACACTCCAAGAATAGCACAAGTACTTGCCCAGGTTTTCGCGGGGTCGGAAGGCTTTGGCATCAATCAGAGAAAGCAGTTCGGCCCACAAATGCCTTGAAAACTCGTTTCCTGGACGCTGGCGCAGCACACCCAGGATGAATGAATCGCTCTGTAAACTGCAAGCCGCTAGACAAACAGTAGCGAAGATGAAGCTTTGAAAAACAATACCTAAATGAGGCGGGCGACGAATAACTTGCTGACAATGGGCACCGGTCAATACTGGGACTGGGGACGGGACTAGGGGGGCTGGGGGGGAGGGGTGCTCGAGAGGGGCTGCAGCTCTCCCGGAGGAGCTGCCAGCGGTCCAAGCGCCCGTCTCCGGGGTCTGGGTCTAAGGTGACCCGGACGGCCCAGGCCGGACCCGCCCCCAGACCCCTCTCAGCCCGGGCACCGGACCCCTTCTGCCGTCGCCCCTC